ATCTCTCACTGGTGCCCCGCCAATAGCGCAGGCGGGTTTGCCATTCCATTATCATCCATTAAAAAAAAAACAACAAAAACTCAAAAAATTACTTAATTGATTATAAAAATTCTTTCACCTATAAAAAGCTACATTATCAGAGAGTAACATAAACAAAAAAACAATAAAAAAGTCGGATCAGTTCGTTAGTTATAAAAAAAAAAAAAATTACTCAAATAAATATCCAAAATGTAGTGTAAATGCAATGCCTATTTTATTTGCGGATTCTCTAACAAGTAAATTAACAAAGTATTCATTGGGAGAATGATTAAAATTATTCATCATTATAATGACGATTGGCCCACGATAGTTTATCAGTAGTCATTCGATATCAACTAAAAATATAATTTGTCAATTCATCCAAAATATAAGTAAATAACCATAACGGAACGCGCCCATACAATAGTTGTGCAAACGTTATCAGATCCATCCGACAATCGCGGCTGTGTTCCAGTATTTACTGAAGGGACGCACTTAATTTTCCATTTTCACAACCGCTCGAACAAATACCTCGCACCCATTATTCAAACTAGAATATACCCGAAATGCTTTGTGCGAATCCTTGGGCAGCTCGTGTTTTGTAAGAAATAGTATCACCAATGATGCGTATTCAAAATCGAAATTTACATGATTATAGACTTTATTTGCTTCGTAATAGAAGTTATTGGTAATTTTGACATGTTTAAATAATAAGTTTGTTAGTGGAACGTTTATTTAAACAGGGTAATGTGACGGAATGAAGATACGTTTGCTTTGTAGGTGTTTAGAGGAGGTATTTGTACTTTCACTTAATATTTACTATTAATATTTACAGTTTAACTGGTTATTTCCCGTGGCTTTGTCCACATTTCATTCTAATCAGTTCAACCGTTTAAGCGTGATCTAGTAACAAACATACAAACTTTTACATTTATTACATTATATGTATGATATAAATGACGATTTTGTTGATGATTGAATACAGTTTAGAACTTTATAGTTTTGTTTAACCGACTTTAAAATGTGATAATTTTTGTATATAAATTATGCGTTATTAATACACTTTTATAGTTTAAATACTATTATATTCTTTTTTTTTGTAATCACGTACAGTTGTTAGTAAGATAATTGAAATCACATTATAAAAATAACAAAGGACGCCATCTAGTGGCTTATGATTAAATGTGACCTCTTCCCTTATTTCGATTATTTTCTTTTTTCTTTGAAAAAAAAATTCACTCCTGTGCTAAATTGGTCGAGATTGAAAACTGTAATAATTATGAAAATAATGTGAAATATTATTTAAAACATGTCCATTCTCAAGTGCGACAAATTGCTTACGAAACATCTGTAACAACTGATTTTGAAATAAATTTATTAATGTGCTATAAAGTTGCCAGTTTTCGGCACTTCGAGCACCATAACCGCGAAGTTAACAATAAGGCTGAGCAGAACCCTACAGAACCCACAATTTGATGGGGCAACCGTAAAACCCAAACACTTACAGGCCCGTGTTATCCACCCATCTGCCATATTGTGCGTTTCAGCGATGTTCTACGATCAACAGAGCATGCTAGGGTGGAAACATACGGGTAAATTTTTTGGACGTGCTAGTTGCGGTTATTTCAGATGGTCATCATTGTTATAATGAGCCTATTGCAGTCCACTGCTGGAGGTAAGCCTTGTTAAAGTTATGCCATTAAGTACAATCTTCAGCTTCGTTTCCAATTTTTATCAGTCGCTACCTATGATGTACAGATTGTATTTTTTTTTGTATTAATTACCTGATAAAAATAATAACTGGAGAAGATATATTGTTATAAATATTAGAAAAAAACTATTGGGTACCATGTAACACATAGGTGTAGTAATTTTAAACAGTTTATCTAATATTACCATTTCTTTTTGCTGGGTGAAAATGGTACCCCGCCTGCGCTAACGGGATACGCTGGCGGAGCACCAGTGAAGGGTGATAGATGAGAATGAAACCAGGCCAGTTAGTCCATGATGATGAATTCATCAGGAATTAACCATGATAGTTTTCAGGGAGAAGCGCGAGGAGGTTGACCTGGTTGGGTATATTGCTAGCAATGGGATTCTCAGTCTCCATTACTAACAGTCCCTTTCTCCCCATTCTAATATTACCAGTTGCTAAATTTCAATGGAGAGAAGATTTTGTTTTTTATGTATTCAATTATAAATTAATCAACCGACTTAAAAAAAAAGGAGATTTTCAATTTGGTTGTATATTTTTTTATGATTATTATCTTACAATTTTGACAGTTTTAAATCGTTTTGGAAAATTCTGTTTCATTTGAAAGATTAGGTACTTATAAATTGGTCTTATAGAAATTTTATCAATGTCGGGTTTAGTTTTTTAAATCAATATAACTGGTATTGTCATAATTAAAGTCTTTTTTTGTGGGACACATTCTTTAATTATTTTAATGATTATTTTTGTAATGGGTGTTAGTTTTATATTAATTTTTACATAATTGAAGTAGCTGTTTTTTCTCGGATCAAACATTAATTTATAATACTTTGAAAACATGTACTTGTAGACAGCCTATCTGAAATGAAACGGTAAACGTTACATGACTTTATTACTTTTTTGTTAAATGAGTAATTAACGTTGTTTACTTGTTACTGCAGCAGGTTCAATGTAACATAACACTTAACTAAATGTTATAGAAAAATCCCAAAGTTCATAATTAATGATGGGCTCGTTAAACAACTAATTACAGTCAAGCGGCCGCCCGCAACATCGACCCAAGTGTTCCATCTCGAGGCTTTTCCAGTAATAAAATTTGCATAACTACGCAGTCTGGCACGATCGCGGCGTCTTATTAAATTTCCACCCCTCCAAAAGTCATTAATGGTTTGTACTTAACCACCTACCGGTGTTATTCTGTGATAAATCATAAGGTATCCCGTAATAGGATCGTGCATGCTCCACCGTGACTTTTATTGCCGTCTCAAGATGGGAGTAATCCTGTGGATCACGCGAACGCCGCAATGCCTCCCGGAACTCGGATAATCTTTTGTTTATACGTATTTTTATGGGCAACTCTTATATATAAACGTTAAGGTTGCTAATAATTCTTAGAGGATTATATAATATACGTACTTATTATGTGGTATATTGTACGCGTGGGTGTAGCTTGAGCTTACGTTTAGTTTAACAATTTGTTAAGATATATATAAAGTCAAATTGTTCACAGAAGTGATATATATTTATTGATAAACTTTACTAAATTAAAATTTACTTTCTGTAGTTTGTTTTTATACAACTTAGAATGGTAAACAAGCTGACGGTCCACCTGATGGGAAGTGGTAACCAGGGGGACCACGTGGAGGGCGACCTGGTTAGGTATATTGCTAGCAATGGGGTCCTTAGTCTCTATTATTAACAATCCCCCCCACCTGATTTTATGGTAACCCCGCCTGCGCTAACGGCATACGCTGGCGGAGCACCAATGAAGGGTGATAGATGAGAATGAAAACAGGCCAGTTAGCCCATCATGATGAATTCATCAGGAGTTAACCATGATAATGTCCAGGGGGAACCGCGAGGAGGTCGACCTGGTTGGGTAACAATCCCTTTCATCCCCCTGGGTACATGATTGTTAAAGTTATCTACTTATCTTTGGCTATGATAGTTTTTACAAGTCAGCTTTAATTTCCCCCAGGACTATAGAAGCTGAGTATAACTCATTCTCAATGTCACATAAATTATAATACAATACATATGTGTTCATTAACCCTGGTCATGCAGGAAATACAGCGTTGCATATGGATAGCGGGGATACATTATGTAGTAATATGGTTTAAACAATGACGCCAACTAGTCATATCTCATAGTGAAGTGGTTCCAGTGTGTAAACATAATTATGTATGTTATTGAATTATACTTGTACAAAATATGAAACGAAAATATTTTAAATACTTAATTATCTATGAATATTTAATTGACTTCATTGTACTAAATAATAGTAAATATATATCATTTACTCTGTCTAAATGATAAATTAAAATTATATATTGTTTACTCGTTACCGTAAGTATAAGCCTTCAACTGTCCACTGTTGGACATAAACCTCTCCCTTAGGGGTTTTGTCAGTAGTTGCCACGCTTGGCAGGCGGGTTGGCAACCGCAGTTAGGCTTTAGAAATGTTTTAAGAGCGCCACTGCTGTTTATTACTTCCCCCCATCCCCCCGACCCTAGTCAATTCTTACAGACCCACAGGAAAGGAAGGGGTGGCCTATTCCATGCCGGGACCACATGACAATGCTATACATAAATTATTACAGGAGTGCTATATATAAGTTGACAGCTTTGTAATATATTAATAATACACATGTTGTATAGGTATTTATGTGCACATGATTTACACACACACACACGCACGTACGCACGCACGCTCGCACGCGCGCACGCACGCACGCACGCACGCACGCACGCTCGCATGCACGCACGCACGCACGCACGCACGCACGCAAGCACGCACGTACGCTCGCACGCACGCACGCACGCACGCACGCACGCACGTACGCACGCACGCACGCACGCACGCACGCACGCACGCTCTCACGCACGCATACACGCATAGTTTTTTGTTAAAATTTCATATGTTATTGTTTGTAAAAAATCTACAAATTTGCAACATTAACAATAGTGATAACATTAATTATATAGTTTTTATTTGCAAGTATTAGTTTCTCATACGAATTATGTTTTTGAAGGGAGGCACTTCACGATACAAGTATCGCTTAACATATACTTAATATGAGGTTTCCAATATTAATATAATTTATGGCTAAATAAAACACATTTCATTTAATTTCATTCATAAATATAGTTCTATTTTCAATTAACTAAGCGATAAAAACAGGGATAGTGTTTCGAACGGCCACATCATGGATAACAAATATCGCTACGATAACGAGAAAACATCTGTCAGCATCAAGTTTCGCTGTGTGCATGAAATTTCCATTTGTTATTTGTCGCTTGTTGAATTGACATCGTAGACCGATTTCAATTATGTGGGAAACATATATTCTCTTGGTTTCAATATTTATTTTGCCCACAACACTATCTATAGTTAAGTGGCTGCCAAACAGAAGTTTCAATTTGCCAGTAAATTTTTTGAACGGAAAATTACCATGTTCCAGGCAAACTGTTGTGTTCCCTGAAAATATAATTGAATCAGTGCGACTGGAATCGGAAATATCTGTAAGTGAATTTGTATTACCAAGTGAGGGAGAAATAACTCTTGCCAATGGCGTTATTAGTTTTGGTGCAGACCCAAATGACTCTAATTGCACCGATGACGGCAATGTTTACTATTTGGACAATTCAGTTACGTCATGGGCTCAACCCGATATGTGGAGTTCAACAAAATTCAACGATGCAACACCTGATGCAGAAAGAATACCATGTTACGACGACATTGTAGAGTTTCCTCAAAATGCACAATTTACAATTATCCTTCCAGATGATAATCAAATAGTCAAAGAGATAAGAATTGGAAAAAGCGCTAATATAACTACTACTGATGCATTTTCAAATTATGTGTCGATGCAAAAAGATCAATCGCAGCAATTTATACTTAACAAATTTCAACAATCAGGAGTAAATGTCATGAAGACTTCGTGCAAGTCGAGAAGTGGTTGTCCATGTCAAAAATTCGGTATCAATGTGGACTGTTCTGCCAAGTTTTGTCCTGTACCAACTTGCGATAATCCGATCCAACCTATTGGCCATTGTTGCAAAATCTGTGGTGGATACATTACTTTTGCAGTTGATAGGAGCTTCGATATGATGTCCTTCAAAGAATTTGTTGCAAAAATTGTACATGACTATGGAAGTGATAATATTTTGTGGCATATAAGTCGACTTCCACAAGTATTGAAGAGAGAAGAATATACTGATCTTGTTTTAGACAATGATAACGACTTTGGTGCAGATGGTCAGGTTCAAGTTGTTGTGGTAGACAAAAGAGAATACACTGGTGATAGTGCTCAGGTAACAAATGAAATACAGTACCGGATAAAGGGTTTGAAGACAGCCGCAATAAGTGGAAGTCCCTTATCAAAATCAGGAATAAATGGGAAAATAGCGGTGTCCATGTTTTTTACTGTAATACTGGTAATGGGTGCAGTATACGTATATTATTATAGAGTGCCAGAACACTGGGTGGAAAATTTGAACTTGAATAGGCCTCGTAGGGTTATTTCTAGGTTTCAGAGAAGAACGGAGAGCGTAGTATCATTGACCAGGAGAGATTCTGGAACACCAATAGGTACAAGTATAAATACAGGGTTTAGAAACCCTATGTACGACTCCAAAAGAGGGCGGGTACACGTTGTGGAGCCTGTAGATATTGTTGAAGAAGAATAACGTCATATTTTATTTGACAATAAAGGAAATGAATTTGTGTTTAATTACAATGTTAGAAATGAGTATAATTTTTTTGTAGAAATTAGGTTACTCTCCCATTTGTCCAATAATATTGTTTTTATTATGAGTAGCAATACGTCAATCGTCCCTTTTTTGATATCAACGATAATGCTAATGCACTAGTAATTTTAAATAGGACATAAATAAATCCTACCCTCATCCCATTTATTAATAAGACAAAAATAAATATAAGACATAATAATCAAAATTGTTGGAATGTTATATTTCTTTTTTTCTGAAATCTAGTACAATAGAAATTGCTGGATAGTTTCTTATAATTATCCTCGAGTCCAAGATATTGAACTTACATGAAGTACGATGAAGCGAGTTTTTTTTTAAATAAATACTAACATAAATGTGTTAATTACTTATATAGTATTTATTATTGTAAAGTTGAAATTAGAATTTTTTGAATTTTTAATAAAAGAAACAAAAATAGCAAGTGGTGAAATTGGCGCCGACGAACAAGAAGTATATATTCTTATCCAGGTCACACATTGCATGTTTGTAAGTTTTGTAAAGATTGGTTGAACTGTTAAGGAAGCAAGACGTAATAAACAAACAAATAAGCACACTCAATTTCACAATTATAATATTAGTAAGGATTGAAATACATCCATAATAGAGACTTGGTATGGTATTTGTTCGCTTTAAATATAGTTGTTGCACAGTTTAAATTGCTTACTGTACCATATTAAATCATTTGACAGTAATTTACCACTGTGTGGATACTCCCAATACGATGAATGGGCGGATACTAACTATATACACGTATAACGTATGATAAATGGATAGACACAGTTATGTAGAAAATTCAATACTAAACTATAGGTATTATACTATACGGGACTATAATAAATTACGAGAACAAAAAGTAGAGAGCCTTTTTAAAATACACATAATACATAATTTGAAAAATACAATAAATGAAAAATATATTTTTTTTTATGCAATTTAGAATGACAACCAAGCTGACGGCCCACCTGATGGAAAGTGGTAACTGTCGCCTATAAATATGAGTAGCATCATGGACATAACTGAGTATACTGTTTCGCCCACGATACCCCCCAAGCGTTGCCATTCTTGAAAACTCAGGTGTTATTCTTCTGTATCCTGTAAATTCACTGCCACATCCCATCCTTCAAACCGAAACACAGCCATGCAAACACAACTGTTTCACAACTTCATTGATAAAATAATAGAAAATATAATATTAGCTTTTGTCATTTTTTAGCTTATTATTTTTATTAGCTTTTTGTAATTTTGTACGCGTGGATTCTAAAAGTAGATACCCACTATCACACAGTGTATCAAGATAAGGCAGCAGATTTGAAATTAGACCTTCAAAAGTTGGCATACTGATATCACCAGTATTTTACTATAATATTTATTAGCTAATACTTCTCATATGGTGGTAATTCTCACGATATGTCTTGGTTACGCGAATGAAGTCGCGTTTAAAGTATTTATATCTAGTTTCCAAGTTGCAATATTTTGAGAGAAAAATATTTCGTGGTTTATAAAAACGTCATTAGTTTTTTTTTATGGGTGATAATGGTATGGAAACCCCGCCTGCGCTTACGGGATACGCTGGCAGAGCACCACTGAAGGGTGATAGATGAGAATGAAAACAGGTCAGTTAGCCCATCATGATGAATTCATCAGGAATTAACCATGATAGTTTCCAGGGGGAACCGCGAGGAGGTCGACATGGTTGGGTGTATTGCTAGCAATGGGATTCTTAGTCTCCATTACTAACAATCCCTTTCCCCCCAAACGTCATTAGTTTATTACTTTTACATTAATTAACTGATGCATTTACATAAACTCTTGGTTTTTGGACTACTGATTACATAAATATATTAAAAGCAAAATTTTGAGCTATATATACAAGATGAAGTTATAAAGAGAAGAAACAATCTGCACCTTACGACTGTCTGTGTGAATTTGGATAAAAAATATTCTTGCCCTATGTGTCGAATATAAATAATTATAGTCCATTTATGTGCAAAATTTTATTTAAATCCTTTCAGCGGTTTAAGTTTGAATGGCATATTTTTTTTTCTAATTTTTAACGTAGTTGGTAACTAACATATCCTGTTCATGGTAACCAGTTCGCGAGTAAATCTAGAATATTATAGAAATATTTTGGTAGTGATAAATATACTATATTAAATATAATAGGCAACAAACAATTTCTCTATCATACTTATTAGCAAGGATGGAAATGAATTTCTGTAATAAATCTTTAACTGCGGAAAAGATGAAACCCTACTCTTAAATACCGAAACGCTGGCTCTTTGTTAGTGGCGCTTTGAATATGAACTCAATCAATAGTATTGGGTTTCCTCGGAGAGCTCAAAGAAGAGGCCTGCCACGGTATGTCGTTAATCATCCGACTTTGATGTTCACACGACTGATTGTGGCGTGGCGTTTTGTTCTGACTGTTTTTTTTTTTAAATAGATTTTACTTTTTGTTCTATATCCGTTTACATTTCACCGTTTAAGAGCAATTTCTTTTTTTATTTATTATAAAAATATATTCTGAAAATATTAGTTTTTGCTTTTATAAATGTGTGTGGGTGTGTGTGCGTGTGTGTGTATATTGACGGTGAAGTGACATTTTATAATAAATCAAAAAAACAACTTTACAGGAAACAAAAACTATTTTATTTATCTGTTTACTTTTTAAAATATTTCTACATAAATATGACAATAAATAGAATAGGCATTATTTCTTTAAAACCATAACAATATTATATATGTTATGGTTTTATAAATAATTATATGTCAATGAATTTTATAAAATATTGTTGACTTTTAAATAATTAATATTTTAAATAATATATAATACTCGTATGTTGTATGTATGTTGTAAATTAAAAAGCCTTCAAAACACAATTTATTTATTAATCATTGCCACTTCACCGTTGGTATGTAAATCGTTTATTGAAATTATATTTCTGTTACAACACTAAACTAGTATATCAACTTTACAAATATCATGGTCTCGTATAGCCAACGAGTATACAGATAACGACACGTCATTTGTGACCGAGCGCTCTACGTGTAGTAAGTACGAAACTCGACACGAACTAGTACGTAGTACAAAGCGCCAACTCACCGGTCCCATTGTTGCCTAAAGCTATTGTTTTTATCCGAACGCTGATTTACGTTCGTTTAACCGTGTTACGCCTCCAAATGTCAATGGCGACGACTCATTTGCATGCCGCGACAAATTGTACACCGAAACAGATATGAATACTTGTACAAGCTTAGCTATTGATAATTTCCAACCAGTTGCCACTTTTCATCAGGTGGGCCGTCAGCTTGTTTGCCATTCTAATTTGTATAAAAAAAAATGCGTTATTTATGTTGGGACACTTGATACGACACGACGAACTTAGGAACATTATAATAGAAGGTAAAATAGAAGGAAAGAGGAGAAGAGGGAGACCGAGACATAGTTACATCAGGCAGATCAAGGAAGGAGTTGGTGTCGTGTCGTATCAAGAGGTGAAGGGACTCGCTGAAAATCGTAGTGAGTGGCGAGAGCTCCACCGACAAGAGCGCAGCTCTTAAATAGATAGATATATTCATATATTCGTCATCATCATCATACCAGCTCTTAACTATCTACTGCTGAACATATCATAAGCCCCTTGAGGTATTTTATCAGTAGCACAATAGAGTTGCAATGCTTGGCAGGCGGATTAGCAACATCAGTAAGGCTTTAGAGATGTTTTAAGAGGAACGCTGTTGCCCATCTATCACCGTCCTTTAATCGCCTTTTATGACACCCAGAGGAAAGGAAGGGGTGTCCTATTCTATGCTAGGACCACATGGCAACCATAAAACAATAATATCATAAATATCGTCAAATTAAAATATTAGATAAAAAGATATTCTAACAAATGACGTCCCAGAATCGACTCCAGTTTTAAAAATTACATTCTTTATGTCAATCACTCAATTTATGTCAATCACTCAATTTATAAAATACTTCTAGACTTGTGTTCTAAGAATAAAAACGAAGAAAGCGACATTTGACACTGCAATAACTTAGTAAAAACTCATAAAATACAACGTATGCACGAATAGTATAAGAGTAACAAGCGCTAAATCGTATATCAAAAGCGACGGGCCGGATTTAGGGCGCCTAGCGCAAGCCCGAGCACTATAAATCGGTGCTAGCACATTTGTCAGAGACAGCTACGCGTCTGAATGCGTCCACTTGCACTTTTACGACCACCTCCAGTGATTAACTGCATTATGACGTTTTGATACTTTTTTTTTTTTTTTAAACTGCAATGACATTTTGATATTATTAGCACAGATAATATAATATGTTATTAGTAAAACACTTGTATGTTTCTTCATATCACTATATATTATAAAACAAAGTCTTCCGCCGCGTCTGTTGGTTCGCGATAAACTCAAAAACTACTGCTCCGATTTTCATGTTGTTTTCACCATTTAATAGAGTGGTACTCGAGGAAGGTTTTAGTTTATAATTTGTTAAATTTTTGTATATATTGGCCAAAATAATAACTATATTTGTTGGAGGTTTTGAAAAAAAAATAAGCCGTCTGGGAGCCTAGGTATTATATAGATTTATATTGTATAGATTGTATTGTAAAATCTTATATATATATATATATATATATATATATATATATATATATATATATATATATATATATATACATACATATATATACTTTAATATGATTGTGAATATTTCTCTATATTTATATATAAATAATTTATATATTGTACATATAAGATACATATTTACGGGGCCAATGCAATTTTGTCTGATGCAGAGACCGTCACAAAATAGGTTTTCGCCGCGGCACATTCGAGACGTTGCGGTGCAACTCAAAACTATCTCCTCAATGGAGGGTCGTAATTCGATTACAGCTCGACTCATTTCTTGAGATGTCGTGATTCGAGAATAATTCGAGAACGCGTTCGGATTTCGAATTGAATGGAATAGAATAGGGAGGTAAGTGAATTAAGATAGATTGTGTTGGGGTGACGACATTGTATGGTGGCGAATCCGCTGTTTGGCTGAGTTTAGAGTTGGTTAGAAAGATTGAGTATTCAGAATGTGGCTTGCTTGTAAATAATAATGAGTAAATAAACAGTTAACATTTCGAGTTACCGGTTAATATTTAAAATAATGTTTATGTTATAATGTAAGTAAAGTAAATATTTTCACAACTGTAATTTCCGATTTGGGAAAGTTAATATCTACCTCCTTTTACTTGGATTCATATTCTAGATGTAACGACATATATATATATATATATATATATATATATATATATATATATATATATATATATATATATATATATATATATATATATATATATATATATATATATATATACTTTATCATTCTATGAGCGTACTTTTTTTTTTATTACCTTTATATCAGGCAATTAGTTTATAAATATAGGTATTTACCTTGTTATTTAATACACATATTGAAATGTATAAAAATTATATCATATAATTATGTACAAATTATGTAATATAATGTTTATATAATATATTTCAGTTACA